TAAGAGATTAAAGGTTTTACCCTTTAAATATTCATTCCCAAAGCTTTCAAGAAGCTTGAATGGTGCCAATGATAGTCACTCTACAAGCATTTACAATGTAAATCATCAATATCCACATTTGAGCTAATTTTCACTAATAACTCCACACTTCTTAATGCTCAAGATTCATTCTTGGCTCATATAAAAGTACTCATAAAGTTTTTAAGCTTCCTTTAACCCTCGTTAATATTATTAAGCCCTTTAATGGTCATTAATGGGATCACATAGTTCCCAACCACTATATTTATAAGGATTTTCAAATACTAAATGTCCTCAACCACCAATCCTTATATAATCATAAATACCAAGTTTACTTAGCTCAATCTACTCCCATTAACTCTATTTAAGTTAATGGGTTTGGACCCATAGCCCTTATGGACTGAGAATCACCATTATCAACTAAATCTTAACTTCTACCATCAAGAAAATGAAAGAAGAGAGAAAGATTTGAGTAAGAAAGCTTAGCCTTTAATGTTTAGGAGCTCCAAAATACTCTCAATACTTAGTTTTCCTAAGTCCTAGCACCATCCTTTCACTACTCTCTTATGTTCTTCATTTCTTTCCTTATATATTGCATCAAATTCATGACTTATTATAGCAGAAAAGTGACCATGCACTACGACAGACGTACAATACGCCATAATGCATGGCACAGAGAGCACTTCCAAGCGTGTTGCTACACATGCACCGTGGCGACTTATCGATAAGTCGCGGCGCATGGTATAGAATCTCTTTTCTTAAAATTTCTTCATTTTTCATTCTCAGATGACCCAATTTCCTTTTAGATCCATATTTAGGGTTGAAATTAAAACCAAACACACCTATTAGGCCTTTCTGGCCTCATACCTCACTAACACAATTAATCTAATTGGACTTACTTAATTTGGTTTAAGAAATTGAGAATGTTACACATTTCAAAGAAACTTTGGAAGGCTATTCGGAAGGGGGCTACTACACTAAAAGTTTAGCCTTTCTTCTGGAGAATTTTTAATAGAGTTGTGGCTATGAAGAATGCTCTTTTTAAAAGGAAGTATACTTGTGATACTATTTGTCCATTGTGTGGCGAAGAGATTGAGACTGTTGAACATTGCTATTCCTATGTCCTTGGTTTAAGAAATGCTGGTTTGGATGTTCTTTGGGAATCCACTTTGAAGATGTGGGTGTGGTAAGCATGGAGAAATGGTTGGAGGAAATGTTGGTGGATTGTAGTGCTTTGGATGAATATGGTAAGTCAATTCTGGTTACCATGTATTGTGGATTTGGAAGAGTATGTGTAATTAGGTGTTTAATGGAGGGAAGGTCAATGCTGAGAGTGTGATTTACTTGGTAAAGTTAAGGAGCTCTAGAATGACAAGTAGAAAGGCAAGGCATCTAGCAGGAAGGTGATAGTTAACAAACTTGATCATTTAAGTCATTAGGTTGCTCTTGATAAAGGTTGTATTAAAATGAACTATGATGGTTCTTTTGATCAGAATAATAAATGTGCAAGAGTGGGGGTTGTGCGTAGAAGGGGAGATAGTGCTTCTTTGTGGAGGTATTGCTAAGGCTATTGTGGCCAAGCATGCTCTAATGGCTAAGGGTTTGGCACTGAAGGAGGCCATAATGTTCAGGAGTAGGTTTGCTGGTCAAAAAATCTACTTTGAGATGGATTGTGAGATTTTATATAAAGTAATGGTGGAAGGCTCTTTATTGGGTTGTGATTGGCATTGTAGAGACCTATTTCAGGACCTTTTGATCATGAAATCTGAAATGTAGAATGTTTATTTTTCCTTGGTTATCAGGTTATGGAATAGAGCTATTAATTTTTTAGTAGTTGGTGGTAAAAAAGAGGATTTTCCATGCTATCTGGTTGGAGTATGCTCCATCCTCTTTACTATTAGATATTATGCATTGTGATGCTTTTGGACTTGATACTGATGAGTTTGTTAATCATGTTTTTGATTTTGTTGGGTTTGCTAAGCAAAGTATTGGTTGACTTTGTTGTGCTTTGTTTGTAGTTTTTCTTTTCACTATTCTTGGTCCTTTTTGTGTTCAGATTTCTTTAGCTTTGTGGATTTTCTTGTATTCAGTTTCTTTATTAATGAAAGTACTATTCAGGCAAACAAAAGGCCTTATTTGGGCCAGAGTATGACATATATTGTATTATTTTTATAATTATTTTTCAACTATACCCTTACTTTATTTATTATTTATTTTGAAAAAAAAATTATGCAATGAAATTTTAATTATCATTATTAAAATACTTATATAGAGTATTTAATGATGATATGATTATTAAGATGTATATAATATAGAGTTTATTTGATTGGGAGGAGTTACTTAGAGACTGTTTATGAGCCATTTAAAAAATCTGGGAATGGGATGAGAGAAGTGGGGTATATGTTACAAGGCAAGGGTAGAAGGTTTTTTTTTTTTGGTGGGGAATGGCCCCCCTTGCAATACATCTAATCATGATAAATTTCAATGTGATATCTCAATATCAATGAAGCTTCAGTTTTGTCATTGAATTTGTGTGGTGTATATATCGTTGAAACTTGAAACATTTATATATATATCTATATATGTACAGTCTGACTAATTATAAAAAAGACATATTCAATAAGAATCTGCTGAGAAATATGATGAACAGTACATTGGTGTTCATGAAGAATATCCAAGCGGCAAACAAGAGCCAATGCAATTTCTGTGTGGTGGAAAAGTTACATACAGACCCAGTGTGGTGGAAAAGTTACATACAGACCCAATAATAGTAAAATATTTGGAGAATGACGCTTTACTATTAGAATAAATAGTCAATCGTAAGAAAGGTTTATAATTTAATAGACCTATGAATCTCAAATAAATAGACCTAAAATCTTTAATTCTAACCGAGACCTTTATAATTTATTACAAAATGGATATTAATTTTTCTAAACAAATTATTTAAATTAAAGAATTTTATTTAATATGAATAATTTAACTGAATATATAATATGCTCATCTTCAATAGTTTTTTAATTCTATTTCTTTTTAATATATTTGCAATCAAAACAAATAGATCTAGCCAAAGAAAAATAAATGTCAAATAAACTTTAAGGAGGATTTCAAAAATAATATGCATATTTGTAGCTTAATTTTAGAAAATTTATTACAATAAATAAAAAATCTTAAACACAGATTCTTTTTTCTATATATATATATATATATATTAATTTGAATTTAAATAGATAGACATTTTCAAAAAATATCCTCCACATACATGACAAATGATTTTTAATAAAATATAATTTTAGAATTGTATGAAAAATGTAAAATAATGATTTTCAGTGTATCTTTAGGGTGGATGGAAATTTTAAATAGATAAATATTAATTTAAATTAAATATGATCAGATTTAAATTTTCAATGGGTAAAAAACAACTTTTATATACATCTAAAAATTAATAATCTATCCCATACCTAACTCCAAACCTGAATAATATATTTTATATATATTAAAAAATAATAAATCATTTTGAACCTAACCCTAAACTTGAATTCAGAGCATAGAATCACAAGAATGGCATCTCAAAGCATAGAACACTTTTTTTTCTAAATATTCAAATAGATATATATTAATGTAAATTTTAATCCTAATATATAGTGTGTGTGTGTGTACACATGGAATTATGAGCGCTATTTTTAGCTATAATAATTGGGAATATATTATGTCAAATTTCATATATTAATACAAATCATATTTATAATTTTTGAAATTCATGAGGATAGATTTAAATAGTAAAACAAATATTTTTTTTAATTTAAAGAGATATATATTAATTTAAATTTGAATCCCAATATATATCTATACATAAATACACTAAAAATTATGAACCTAAAATTTTCCATATATTTAGGTTGGATAGAGTTATTAAATAGATAGATATTAATTTTAATTTAAATATAATCAGATTTGAATTTTAAATAGGTAAAAATAGATTTTTATATACATCTAAAAGTTAATAATTCATTCCGCACCTAACTCCAAACCTAAATAATATATTTTATTTTTTTTAAAAAAACAATAAAACATCCCAAACCTAATCCCTAACTTAACTTTAGAGCATAGAATAGCACGAAAGGCATCCTAAAGTATAGAATTACAGTAAACCTAAAATCAAACACGTGACATTCTCTCATAACCTTAAAACCTATTTTTATACATATAATGATGATGGGATCAAATAGACTTTTAGAAATTGTTTTATAAATGAGACCAGAGGAAGTATGCGTATGTATATACATATGTGTCAGTTCGTGTGGAGTTAGAAAAATTATGTTCAAAGACATTAATACTAGAAAAGGATGTGGGTCACTTAATCCAAGAATCCATGTAGAGATTAGACTACTAGAATCTTATTTATGACATAACATATGCACCTTACAAGAGAAAAAGAAAGAGAAGAGAAGAGAAGAGAAGCAAAGATGAGAAACAGAGAAAGGTATTTGTAGCTTGGAAGACTGACACAAATTAGGAAATTGTATAATGGCAAATCATCAATCTTATTATAAGAGGATGATTGTGATATAATATTTCCCACTATCCTCGAAGATAAAATTTCTGGATTTGGACATCAAGAATTAATTCTCAATTCTCGTCAAAACTCATTAAAAACCTAAATATATGAAATTAATACTAATATATATATATATATGTATATGATTCCCAATCAAGGACGGATATTATAATCCAACACATACTAAACAGGGTCAAGTATAGTCTAGCTATAAGATGTTTCCATCATACTAAAATAAGAAAATGTGACGATAATTTTTTTAGACTTTCACATACATATCTTCATTAATTATTTTTTCTCAAATGATCATAATAATATATAAAAGAGACTATATATTGGATACAATTTTATGACAAAATATCCAAGATGAACCTGCCAAATATATATGCTTCACGGCGATGTTGTAAGTTACAACTTCATACGAACGTGCAAGTAGTGAACAGGAGATCATGTCATGGATTTTTTGCCCCAAAATTAAGCCAATTACATGTACACTTCACACTCAATATGTAATACATGAGAAAATGCAGAAAGTTTCACTCCCATTTGCATTTAACTTGGTGTGTGTGCTTGAAATCACAAGTGATCACTAAGCTCTCATCCTTTCTCCTCAAAACAAAACTCTCAACCAGCACATAACATGAAAACTTCCTCCAAGTCCCACTACCTTCAAACTCTTCCACTCTTGTAAGTTTTTCAGTTCCATTATTTGTTCCACCAACCCATCCAAATCTTTCTTGTTCCCATTTCATTCTCTCAATAATCGCCATGCTCAACCCTACCACCTCGTCTCTCCTACCATCAGAACATATAAACCAGACAAATCCAGAAGCCACATCTCTTTCACCTCGAAAAGCGTCCCTTTTTCCGGCAATTTTCGCCGATTCTGTTTGAATGGAAACCTCCATTTGCACTCCTTTCTCTCCACTGTTATCATTTTCTTTTGAAAAAATCCTAACCCATTTTTGCTCCAGTGTCATCTCGTAGAACGTTGTTGTCTTCCCTCTGTCCCTTACAAACATGAAAGGACAGTACCTGAAAGATGAAACTGATCTATCAAATGAACTAAGAATAATATATTCCAAGATCAAAAAAGAAAAGTGAGCTCTTATATATAGCGTTTCCCCCTTTCCCTTGCATCACACACGAATGCATTGTTTGGAAGGTCGAAAAGTATTTTTTAAAAAAAAGAAAATGGAAATGCACCTGCCTCATTTTTATTTTTTTTGTAAGTACATATCTCATTTCCTTCCCAAAAAAAGTATTTTTCCATGCATGAAACATGCAGTAAAGAATTGACCCCATTGTTCAACTTACCATTTTCCAACAACGACTGGTTCAGAATGATCATGAGAGGATAGAAAATTGAAAAGAGGTAATTGAGAACGTAAGGAGGAATTAAGGCCTGAAGCTTCATGTAAAGTTTGGCGAGAAGTATCTACATCAATGTATGCCTTCCATTCATCCCTCAAGAACTTTGGAGCGATTCCATCTGGGGCCATAGACTTGGCTTGGAAGTGATCACGAGCCTTCTGGGTTATCTCAAACTGTTGATATAGGTTGAAAGGATTCAAACCACTTGGTGGAACATCTTTAATGCAACCTCCTCCGCAGCAACTGATTATATCATCTTCTTTTGAGCTTGTGGCTGCGTTCCTGCAAATCATTACATTCATATATATATATATATATATATATAATTCTTAAGTCATGGACTACATTATGCCTCTTCCCATTTTTTTTTCCCATAAGGCATGTATTACTAGGGATGGTTGGTCCTTTTTACAAATTACCTGGTGAAATTTATTGTATTTTCACAATGTTATTAATAATTAATAAGTTTAAATATAGGTAAAATAAGAAATCATTTTCATTTTGAGACAGATTAAGGGCCAGTTTGATTTGCTTCTATTTCACGTTCAAAAAATAAAATTTCAATTCCAGGATGCTAAAAGTTATTTAGGTAAAATATTTTGCAGGAAAGTACATCCTGAAAACAAATTTAAATAGTGGCTAAAAATAAATTTGAAAAATGTAACTATTTGAAACTTTTAAAAAGTGAATTTGAAAAGTAGAATGTTATTTGAACATACTACCCTAAATTTAATCTCTTATTCTTTTATTTAAAAATATTTAATTCATTAAAAATATAATTATCATTTCAATAATAATAATTAGGTATCAAGTTTTTAGTATTATAAATTAAATAATTAATCATGTTAATTTTTAGCATTAATGTATAATAAAAATTACAAATCTTTATCACATTTTCTAAAATTATAAATTAAAAAAGTAGAAATAACTAGAGATTAAGTTTTTTGCATTATAGATCAAAATTTATGTTATCTAAAATCTTTATCACATTTTTAAAATATTTTAATATATTACATTTATATAATAAAAATTACAAATCATTCTAAATCAATATCATTTTTAGTAATTATACATTGAAAAGTATATTTCACTATTATAATCTAAACAACTTTCAGTGTACTAAATTAACTTTTAAAAAAATATATTCAAATACAAATTTCATTATAACAACCGACTTTTATTAAATTGACTTTTGTCAAATGAACTTTTATCGAATGGACTTTTGATAAATTGAAAATCAAACACATACTTAATAGTTTAACATAAGAGGGATGAACAACACATGTTGGTTAGCATGTATTTTATGAAAATTTATGAAAGGCACAATTAATTAGAAACCCCCCCCTCTCTCCATCAGCACTTGTTAAGCCTTTGACCTCTGCTCACACTATCTGTTAGCTTCATTTAGAAATTTCTCAAGAGACTTGAACTAATTTCAAAAATAAGCAAAACCTGCTTTCAATTGGACCAAACAGAGCAATAAATCTTCAGATTTAGAGAGAAACGATTCGTTACATACCCTCTAGTCCAGTAGTCTCTCCACATCACGTAGTAGCGATTGTCAGATAAAGGCTGATTCAAAATTGGAATGAAGAGGACTTTGCTGTTGTTTCTATCATCAAAGTTACTGCCAGTACGAATGTAGAAGTCATAACTGTTGCCACGAATACCGAAGTCATTACAGCCGTGAACGACGAAGTCCTTGTTTTGAAAGAAAGGCAAGCGCCTTATTCGGAAATTGGTTCGCAAACGCAAGAGAATTTCAGATTCTTCATCGGAGACCACAAGATAGCCAGAGTTTGGACCCTCTGGAGGTGGAAGAGACAAAGCAGCTTCGTCCTTCAAGTATAGAGAAAGAGGCCTTGTTACATACATGATAGAAATTGACCTCGATCTGAATCTCTGATATCTCCCAATTTATGACTCTTCGAATCTGCTTATATAGAGATCAATGAAAGCTTAAGGATTAGAAAGAAGAAGAATTGAGTTGAGAAGCTTTTGAATGAAAGCTTACTTGTACGTTGGGAACAGACGAACTCGAGCAAGCCAAGCTAGAACGACTTGAGAATTTTCCCTTTTCTGATCATATAAGATGAAGGATTACAAAGAAAAAACAGAATAAGGAAGTCAAACATAGCACGACTTGGAAATGGCATATTCCTAGCTTGTTTAGCAAGGATCAAAGGGAGGAATAAGATTGGGAAAACTTCTTTTAAGACCCTTGACCACACTTAATGAAAGCAGGTCCTGAAAATTCACTTAAGACTAAAGGTAATAAAGTGAAATTAAAGTGCCAAGTAAAATTATCACCTTATCCCTCATCCCTCTAACTCTACTGAAATTGCTTATTTTCCTAAATGAAGTTGTTGAGGCACAAATAACTTTTGTAGGCCAATGAATAATTTGATGTAAGAAAACGAACAACTCATTTTACTATAATTACAACACTTAAAATAAAATCAAAATTTAATAATCACACAAACAATACATGTAAGTCAATAAATGACTCAATATAAGTCAAGGAACATCTTCATGTAGAGAAACGAATAGCTTGTTTTACCATGATTAAAACACTTGAAATAAAATCAAGTACAAATAACTTCTGTAGGTCAATGAATCAATTTCATACAGGGAAATGAACAATTTCAGCAAAAAATCAGAGAACATGAGGGACAATAAGGTAATTTTACTTTGTATTTTAATTTTATTTTAGTATCTCTAGTCTGAAGTGAATTTTCAAAGTTTAAGGGGCCTTTTTTTTATTAAGTGTGGTTAAAGAATCTAAAATGAGAATTTTTCAATAAGATTCATGTGTAAATGACCAAAAACCCAAATTTGGACGTTGAGAGAGGAGGGATATTTTGATGATTTAAGTAAAAGAAAATTAATTATTTAGTCTCTATAGATTTAATTTATAATTCAGTTCTTAAACTTTGACTTGAAATAACCAAATTTTTATAATTTTGACTCGATTGAAATTTAATTCTCAAATTTTGACTAAATATAATTCAATTCTTATAGTTTTAATCATTTAATATATTAGTCTGTATAATTTAAAAAATAAAATTATAAATGCTAAAGTTATTTCTTAGAATTTATGGATTGACGTTTGAAATTGCTAAAATTATATTACAGGGACTAAGTTATGCTAAAGTAAAATTTAGAGATTAAGTTTTAATTGAGTTTGTCAACAAGATTAATTGCAGCAGCCAAGAAAATTAAAGAGAATGAAATTCCTGTCATGGAAAAATTTTATACACACACACAGCCCCCCAAAATAGTAGAGAAATACAAGATTTGATGATAACATGATTAGAATGATAGTTAATTAGATATGTATAGTTCCAGCGTTAAAGTTTCCCCGAACGGTCCGAATGGTAGTCAAAAAAAAAAAATCAAAGATGAGATTGTAATAAATATCTTCTGACCAATTTATTTATTAATTATTATAACTTTATTATATTTCCTCCATCCCAAATTATAAGATACTTTTAGATAAAATTTAATATATCAAAAAATTTCACTTAATACAGTTAACAACCTTATCTTTCTAAAATAAAAATATAAACTTTTAAAATACTCATTATTTAATATATTGAAAAGAGAAAAGATATAAATTAATTGTAAAGAGAAAAAAGATAATATTAAAATTGATGTATTTAATAAAATTTTAACCTATTAAAAATATTTTATATTTTAAAATAAAAATTTTTTTAAAAAATATTTTATAATTTAAGACAGAAAAAATATTAAATTGTTAATTTATTTTGACAAAGAAAAAAAGGGTTGCAGCCTCTTTATTCCAATTGACTTTCTTGATTGTTATTGTATGCGTGTTTGAAAATGTCAAGGCTATGCAGTTTGCATTAATAAAAGCTCATGGAAAGATTCAAAGAAGTTTTCTCTCTCCAAAAACATGATTAAATTAAGTAAACTGTAGCATACGAAACTCTGTATAGTCACATCATTTCCTTATCAAATTAAAATAGACTTTTGCTCTATCCGGAGATATTTATTTTGTCGTTCGCGACATGATTGAAAATTATTTGAGACAAAATGATGTGGTGTGAACAATCGTGACAAGCTATATAATATAATTTATCTATATTAACTAGACTAATAAAATTTACCAAAAATTAGAAAAAATATTTTCAGTATAATATACTATCATTGTCCATAAAAATATTTAATTTACACAGCATATTCCTCTGTGTGTTGAAAAATTACCATTTCCTCGTCTAATAAAATTAAAAGACAAAAAAATCACAATACTTTCATCCTTATATAACAAAAAATAAACAATCAATAAAACTTGGGCCAATGGATAAAAATGTTGTCAAACTTCATAAGAATACAAACATGACCATATTTTTTATTTTTTTTTATAATGGTCAAAGTACATGAGCGATTAAAATTATATAAAATGAAATAAATAAGAAAGAAAATCAGATCAACATGTGCCTATTCGAAGAGTTGGACAATAGTCCAAAAACTCCAACTATGGAGCTGGCCTCACATGATTGACTGAATTTTGATTATCACTAATATATGCAACAATATCTTTTTGGGAGAATTACATATAGATCCCAATAAGGAAACTAATTTCCTACAAGTCCCATCCATTTATAAATACTGAAGTTTAACATGTAAATATAAAAATTTGACTTATAAATGGATTGAAAAATAATTAGATGATTTTCTTATTTGAGATATGATTGTAATTCTCCCTATCGTTTTTAGGGAAGCCAAAGATGAAAAAAATGTAAAATCTATATATGAAGATGAAGATCTTAATAATGCAGCTCAGTCCCACTTGCACCTAATTTGGTGGGCGTGCTTATAATCAAAAGTGATCACCAATCTTCCTTCCATAGTCTTCAACACAAAACTCTCCGCAAGTATATAACATGAAAATTTTTTCCACGTGTCACTATTATTACCTCCAAACTCTTCCACTCTTCCTATCTTGTGATTCCCAGTAAGCCATCCAACTCTTTCTTGTTCCCATTTCATTCTCTCAACAATAGCCATGTTCAACCCTACTTTCTCTTCTTTCTTGCTATTATTACCATCATGATGACTAGCAAACCACATAAATCCGGTTTTGCTCACATCTTTGTCACTCCTTGAAGCATCCTTTGTTCCTGCAATTTGTGCAGCTTCTGTTTTTAGCGACCTCCACTTCCACAACTACTTTCTTTTCTGTTGTGTTTCCATCGTTATTATTTTCCTTGGAAAATACCTTGTCCCATCTTTGCTCAAGTGTCATCTCGTAGAACATTGATTTATTATTCTTGTTTTTTGATCTCGTTCCATGTTCTTTCACCATCATGGAAGGACAGTACCTGCAAGGAACAAAAAAAATCGATGCATCAAATGGTTAATTTGTCACAAAAATCTGCGTGCACATACATACATACATACATATATTATAGAATTAGATCTCATGCTTAATTAATATGAAAATGTTAAAATGTTTAGCTTACCATTTTCCAACAACTTGTTCAGAACAGTCAAGATAGGAGGAAAAATCTAAATCTGGTAATTGAGCACGCAAGGATGAGTTAAGTCCAGAAGCTTGTTGACTTAAATGGTGGTGAGGAATATTATTGCATAGCCTCCATTCGCCTCTGAGGAATATAGGAGGAAATCCATCTGAAGCAATAGACTTGGCTTCAAACCTATCACGAGGCTTCTTTATTATCTCAAATTGCTGATAAACATTCGAGGGATCTAAACCACTTGGTGTTGCATCTTGTATACAACTTCCCCAACAACATGTGATCTTATCGTCTTCCTTCGAGCTCGTTGCTGCTTCCCTGTACAAAAGCATCATCAACATAATCATGATATTCCTAATATAAAATCTAACAATAACAATAACTAGACAGGGATTAATTAGTGTAATGTATGTGGTAAGAAATCAAACAAACAAACATATAAGATGGAGTATGTATCCTCATAATTGCTAAATTACGCACTGGGCTAGTTAATTTAGATTTTCCTCTCTATATCTTTTGGCCTAATTCGACCTTTAGTAAGGAGGCATAGTTTAAATACAATTAGATAGCGACCTAACCTATTTAATAATTCTCAGCAGACCCATGGTGGGATACATGATTAATTACATTGAAAATTTTTATTTTGTTAGAATGATCTTATAATTTATTTGAATATATAATATTTTAGATTGCTATATCATCTTTTAAATTATTGTAGAATATTTGCATTTAATTATTTTGATTCCTATAATATTCTCATATTTAATTTTAGGATTATGTTAAGGTTTATAAATAGCACCTTAATTGATTTGCTTTGCACAAGCTTTTGAATGAATGAGAATTGTTGTTAGTTCGTTTCTCTTCTGAATTTCCCTTTTTCCTCTAATCTCTATTCTCTCTCTCCCTTCTTCAACCCACCTATTACATATTTAATCGCTAACAAGACTCAATAGATTACGTGTTTCGCCCATCAACCATATACATGATCACATGATACAATAAGACTTTAATATTTCAATACCACCAATTAAGACGTGTTAACAAATCTATAAAATAATTAATGTGGCCCACACATGTATATTTCTACTCTCTCTATCCAAAATTATAAGATGCTTTTAAAAAAAACATATCAATAAATCTCATTAAATAAGCTTAACAGTTTTATTTTTTAAAAAATAAAATATAAACTTATAAAAATACCCTTTATTCAATATATTGAAAAGAGATATGAAAATTAAATAGAGAAAGCAATGGTATTGGAATAAACTTATTTAATAAAATTTTAATCTTCTCAAAGTATTTTATATTTTAGAATGCTAAATTTTTCTCTAAAGTGTCTTGTAATTTGAGATACATGGAGTAACACATAAGCAAGCAGCAAATATATACACATAGACCCAACAGTTTAATTAACATTAGTTATAATATACATGAACAAAGAGAGGATTGATTCGGTTCATACCCTTCTTCCCAGCCTTGTGTGAAGACGACGTAGTAGCGATTGGCACTCAAGGGTTGATTCAGAACTGGAATGAACATGACTCTGTTGGTGGATTCATCTGTGCCAAAAACAGTCAAGTCTTTGTTCTGAGGGAAAGGAAGATTTCTTATTCTGTCGTCTCTTCGTATGCCGAAACCGCTCTCTGCTTCTTCGTCGGAGATCACCAGAATGCCTGAGTTTGGACCCTCCGGTGGTGGAAGAGATAGACCAGCTTGGTCCTTCAAGTACGCAGAAAGAGGCCTCGTCACGTACATATTTGATATTTCTTTCTATTTCTGATTTCGCATTTGTAGATTCTCAGTTTTTAAATATCCATCTTGGAATTTATATTTAGGAAGAGATCGTTATTGACGTGACGTCAAGTTATTGAAAAGTTGTTCACTGAACTTTAAGAAAAGTTTCAAATGATAATTATTAATATTAAAATTTTTGACAATCTATCTTCACGTGCTGAAATTGTATGATTTATAACATGATAAGAACATTTTTTCTTGTATTATTCTCCTTGCCTTTGTATTAAAAAAAGTTGTAGGTCAAAAACAGTAATTGAAAAGTATAAATGGTCTGACTAACTATAAAAGAATATGTTCAAGTAAAAGAAGCTGCTAGGAAAGATTCAAATATTTCTTTGGGTGTGTGTGAAAAGTCGCATGTTTGAAATGTTGAAGTCAACAGTTGTTTTCTCTTATTGATGTGAAAATTTAAGACAAAATAATTAAAGAAAATCAAGAAGGCGTTTGGACACAATCGAGAAGCAACGAGATATTAGATAAAAATTATATTCATTTTATAGACAGACTGATCGATATAAAAAGGTATATATTGTTGCTTAAAAAATAAAGATATATTATATTACTAAATTGATTTTTTATTTTTATTCGGGTAAAATTGAATAATTTTCTTACTTTTAATTTAATTCGCAGAAAATATGCACTTGTTTTGGAAGAGACCAGAAACTAGAAAGACACTAACGTCAAACACATACTAAAATAAAATATAAATTAACATTCAGCTTACCTAATACCAAGGTAAATCAATATGTGAAAAGAGAAGATTAATTTTAGTACTATTTAAAAGACATTTTATTATTTTTTATATTTATATTCTTATTAAATGAATTTTTAATTTGTTTTATTAAAAATAGAGATAAAAATTTGTTAAATTTTAGAATAAATTTAGTAAAATTTAATTTTTTTTAAATTTCATGAAACATATTAAAAATGATTTATAAAAATAAGAAAACTTATTACCGAAAATTTCTCATAAACATCAATATATCATAATAATATTCAATATTCATCGCCGATGCGGTCGAGGTGGTCAGAAAATTAGGATACGTGACTAACGTTGATTCGTGGACAAAACAAGAATGTTAATTTGACACGAAACCAGAACCGCATTGACTGGATTATAGTTTCCTCAAGCCATCCAATAATAATCGTGTTCAGACCAAATATGAAATATGTCATTTCATTTAGGGAAATTACAAATAGATCCCAATTAAAGACTTACTTGCAAGTAAATCTCAAAAATCTGCAAAAACACACTCAAGTCTCATGATAGTTAGTTATATGTAAAATGATACAAATATATATCCTTGAACTCACATTCCCTTTACTCATGTTGATTGGCATTTGACAAACCACTAGTGATCATTGACCGGTCAAAGAAAGTGTATAGTAGTATGTTGTTTGAAAAATCTTAATTTTTTAAAGTAATTAAAAATTTTAAATTGGTTTAAAAATTAAAATAAAAAAATCTAAGAATTAGGATATTCAAACTAACCTGAATAAGCTCAAGAACCCAAGATGTTAAGACCGAACTTAATTATATTAACTATTTTATAATAGTCGAGAATTAATCCCAAGTCCTACTTAAGGATTTCAATTACTTTAAAGTAGTATTTAGATTGGTAGATTTGAATTTGAATTTTGAATATAAAATATTACATTTCAAATCCTCATATTTAAAATTCTTTGTTAAGAAAGTTTAAATAACAAAGGTTACTTCTACATATTAGGTAGTGTTTCGGGATGCATATGAAAATTTTAAATGACAAAGGTTTATAAATGATTTTAAATTATAAAAGAATTAAGATAAAATTTGAATTTGAATAACCATAAATAGAAGATTTGACTCAAATCTGAATTGATATCCATCCAAACATAGCATAAAGTCCAATGAAATGTACAAATTGCCACCAAGTTCCAAATCCCTCAATTGTACATAAGTTTTTGTGCAATTAACAAAATACTCGCTTACATTATTTTGTTTTAAAAAAATATAATTCATCCACCACTAGTTGGCAAAACTCCAACCATTATCCTTGAAGACATGACCAGCCGCCGCCGCCGCCAGTCGTTGGAGAACCTATTGATGATCAGCGATATAGGTTAATTTTGGGAAGGGTATCTTGGGAGGATTAGAACCTAATACCACATGGTTCACAAAATGGATGTTAACCTAATGCACACCAAAATCAATAGATACCACAAGTGTACGGGTCACAAATATAATTAATGATAAGTCAAGGTCAATCTCATAGATAATCAAGTGAAATGGTAAATAGGCATTAAATTATCAATGATCCATTTAAGTTAAGCAAGCAAAAATGTGAAGGATAGTTCAAGATAAAAAAAATAAAGATGTAAAGTAGGCAAAAAGACTTAGATTTTGAAGCTCTCTAAATTCAAAAAGACAACATGGAAAGCACCCTAGAGTTTCTAATCCCTCATTTGCTCAATTATACTCAACTTATTTATTAAATTGATTTTAATTTCTGTTTTAAGAGTTATGACACTTGAATTAATATTGAATATCTTTTGATTACCTAAAATCCTACTTAATTCTAACTCAACAATTCCTTCCTAAAATTAGATAAAAGCATTAAGTTCAAGTTTCTCTTAACCATTTAGGTCCTTTAGGTATATTCTTGTCCTGATAAAGGTAAATTAACTATAATTAATTTTAAGCATTCAAGTCCATTAGTCCAAATAATAATTCCTTTCTCAAGTTCATTCTATTTTCCCAAATTATCACCTAATGATGGCCAATTATCAAGCAACACAAAGGAAAACTGAAATTAAAAAATAAAACATTTATTAATCACAAAATAATCAGTAAATCAAGATACAACTGGAGCAAATAAGTTTATAACACTCTAGAGTATCAAAGTTCAAACATCACATAGCTAAAATACCAAAACAACAGAGCAATGGTTCAAATTCGGACACATAAGAGAAAGAAGGAGAAAAGTGATGGAAAACTCAATGAAAATGTGAATGGTGATGAATTTTCTTCCTCCCAAGATCCAAATTCGACCACAGCTCCCCAAAAATACTTCAAGACCCTTAGAAAACATAAAAAATGAAGTCTAGTTCAAAAAACCCTAGCTTTTCTCTTTTATCTAATTGAAAAATGGAGCTATGCGTTTTGACAGTGACTATTGCCATGGTAGACCACTGTTGTAGGAATTTGCCATGGCAACTAGATGACACCTCGTGACATCTTTGTCTTAGTAATTTCTTTTTATCATTTTTCACATCCTTCCATGCTTCATTCAAATATCAATCTCAAGGTCATCTAAAATAACACAACCAAAATAAATAACTAATTAAAGACACACTAATAGATAAAAACAAGATTAAAAATCACTATTTACAACAAAATTAAATACTTAACAAAGTTACTAAATTAGGCTACTTATACTCATTAATATAATAATGCAAAATAATTAATATACTCCCTTCGGGTCACAATATAAATTATTATTAACTAATATACGTTTCTAAAAAATTGGTTAAAATCTTTACTTTCCAAATTTTTTTACATTTTTTCAATCACATTTAACTTATTTAAAACACCCTCATTAATTACTCAATTAAGTAAAAGTGTAATTAAAAAATTATATAATATATATTAGATGCCCTCTGTTATATTTTAAATTAAGTAGAGGTTTTGAAAAATGACTTATATTGTTGCTCGGAGAGTGAGTATGTGTGTGTGAGTCGGGGGGAGGTGGGGTTGTAATAACTTGTGTCTAGAATACCACTAGATAATCAGATAATCAGTTGTTGTTCCATACAACCCATACCCACTTAAATAGTGATTGCAGGGACCTATGCCAATGAACACTCACAAAATTCAGGAGGAGTTTTTGATGAAATTAGACACTATATTGACTTCCGATACATTTCATCAAGTGAGGCTACATGGAGGATATTTTGTTTTGAAGTGCAACAAAGGTTTTCAGCAGTTGCACGTACAGCTCAATTTCCATGCCTAATAATCATGTGGTCTTGGGATCTAATTCTCCCAAGACCACCACTTCCCAAAATTAACCCATCACATCCGACAATCGGTGGCAGTTCCAAGGTCAGCGGTTGGAGCTCCATCAATGAATTATATTTTTAAAATACGAAATAATGTAAGGGTATTTTTGTAATTGCACAAAAAATTTTTACAATTAATTAAGGAATTTAGGACTTGGTACAATTTGTGCTTTTCATGGAACTTTAAAGTAATTGGAATCCTTACTCCCTTAAGTGGGACTTGGGAGTAATTTTCCTTTTATAATATCATGTATTTTAGGCATGACCCAATTTTTGTCTCTTTGCAATGTTTTTCTGTGAGATTGCATTAAAAAAAAAAAAAACCCAGACCCCTTGATTACTGGCTTTCCCTGATTGCAAACGAGACTTAAACTTGAGATATGTCCATCAAGGACTAGCAGAATGCTGCTATATAGGCTCTATGCCTATAATCAAGGAAATGGATAACACTTCAACTATAAAGAAATTAATTTGAAAGCCACATCAGTACAAGCCATAAAATAAATACATATATAAACGGCACAAAACCTACAAGCTGGTAGACCTCAAACCCACCCAAAGAAATTAAAGGGGAAAAAAACACAAAATCGAAGACATGGAACAACAAACATGATAGAAAGCAAAATGATTTGGGGATGTAAATAACGAACAGATCACTTCCATTTACACTGAACATGATTTGTGTGCCTGAAATCATAACTTAACACCACATTTCCATCCATTCTCTTCAACACAAAGCTCTCCACCAACACATAGAATCCAAAATTTTTCCACTCATCATCACTCTTTACTTTCCCCTCAAACTTCTCAGTTCTTTCAAATCTCACTTGCTTCTTCTCATTATTCTTTCCCTCCCAATCTGCACTCTCTTCCTCCCATCTCATTCTCTCCAAAATCGCCATGCTTAACCCTACCATTCTCTCTCCTCTCTCCAAAACCCTAAACCACATCACATCCTCTTCACCAAATTTTCCTTCTTCCCAAACAGCTTCTCTTCCTCCCCCACCCAATTCTGCAACTTCAGTTTCCACCACAACATTCACAAACACTTGATTACTATCCCCACCGTTTTCCTTAGAGAAAACTTTATCCCACCTTCTTTCGAGAGTCATTTCATAGAAAACTGACTCCTTCATCTGCTCTTTGACAGTCACTGCTTCTTCCTTCACGAACATGAAAGGGCAGTACCATTTTCCGACGACCACTGGCTCGGAGCGAACGGTTGATGATGATGATGAGAAGGTTAAAGGTGGCAACTTGGCTCGCAAGGTAGGGTTGGCGCCAAGAGCTTCACTCAAACGATAATGGCTGGGTGTGTTGGCGTAGAGAGTCCATCCTTTTCTCCTCAAAAAGAGAGGAACAAATCCATCTGAGGCAATACACTTGGCTCGGAATCCAAAACGTGTTTTCAAAATCTCAAATTGTTGATATTCATCAGAGGGATTTAGAGGTGTTGGTTTAACGTTTTTTATGTAATTAAAGCACAAACATTTTCCCATGTCTTCTTCCTTTGAACCTTTGCTTGCTTCACTGCACAATATCAAATCCTTCCGGTGATGTTGCTACCCAAAATTGATTGATCAATAAACTAAATATGGAAAAAAAAATATTTACACAAAATGATCTATTTCGATTTTTTTTTCTTTTGTCATTATAGAAAATAAGAAGCGAAAAACTGATAAATTACAAGGTCCGTATTAGGTATCAAGGAGTTTTTGGTTAATGATTCTGTAAACCAGAGATCTGCTATTGACTAGGCTTCCTAGTCTCTTCTTATTTAAAAAACAATATTTTGCAACAATTTTACTCATAAATATCCAGTATACAGCTTAACATAAATAAAAATAACAATTCAACAATTGATTCATTATGAGATTCATATCAAATTGAAAATTTTATCACCCTACATTATTTTGCAAAGACACTTAGGAGATTATTGTTTCAGAAGTAATGTCTGCTTCATTGAAATGACCTTAGTTTAACTCATTAGGAAAAAATGAGATGTTTTTGGTTTCGTGAAGAGAGAAGAAAAGTGAGACACATACACACACAAACAACATAACATAAATGAAAAGGCTAAAGTGCACTTCTAGTTTTTTAACTTTATACAAGGCTTAATTTTGGTCTGTCTTTTCAACATTTTAATCATAATATTATTAGTTTTATCGACAAAAAATTCCTGCACTTAACTTTTAGATATTGATAAAATATTTTTAAATTTTAACATATTAAGTTTAATTTTTTTAAAAATAACAATGACTAAAAGACAAAGGCTCATATATATACCCTTGATGCTTCCCTTTCCTTCGGATGACGTAGTATCGATTAGAAGACAAAGGCTGATTAAGAACAGGAATGAACATAACTTCATCTCAATGAACAATGACGCCACTTCCTGTATTTTCCGAATAAACAACTGTTAAATTCCTGTTCTGTGGTAATGGCAGATTGCTGATACCCTTCTTCCACAATCCAAAACAACAGTAAGTCTCAGCTTCTTCATCTTGGAGTACAAGATACCCTGAATTTGGCCCCTCTGGTGGATGCCTAACAGCTTCATGGTTCCTTTTATACACAGATCGACGCCTTGTTACATACATATTTTTCTCTCCATATATTTGGGTACTTCAATTCATGTTTGTGTATTTTGGTTCTGTTATTTATAATGTTGGAGACTGCGTGTTTCATCGTATTTTTTGCCATTTTTCTTTCTGTTGATGGTATTAAAAAATTTAGGAAACATCCAAGAATGTACGTAACCCCAAAATCCTTTGAATCGGCACATGTTGCTTTTGCATATGGATTTCGTGCATTTCCATGCACATCCCGTGTGTGTATTTAAATTGTTCGGATTTGATAAAAAAAAGGGATATATGGAAGAAAAATTTACATATGTATAGAATTTGCGAGGAAGTTTCGATTCTTTTGAGTTTTGGCAAGTGAAAGTGAAAGTCAGAATGGAACTCGTCAAGCATTTCAGTTTAAATGGCATTGCATTTGAAATGACAAGTGGATTATCATTTATTATAAGTTTATCTATTCTTCATCTTTAAACACAGTTTGCTTCAGCATTTCTTGATATCAATAATAGCTTCTCCCTGAAGATAATTTTATGCATTGAAAGCCAGTCTCTTCCACATAAGAAATAGTACAAACAATATGAATGTCAATTTTTTTCTGAAACTCTTCTAATATGCGTTTAATTTATTTTAGTAATTATTTTTTGAAACTTTTCTAATATGCTTTTAAAGTTAATAAAGATAAAGGCGTAACAAGGGGAAGATGCAAGTGTAGGCTATTTAGGATTTCAAAAGGTAGGATTATTTTGATCCTTTGAAGACCATTATTACAGGGACCAAAAAATAATCCTACCTTTTTTATAATTTAAGACTAATTAATCATCTCTTTTTTGGAAAAAGGTATAAATTTGTGTCATTTATTTGTTTTTGAATTTTTAATTTTAAATATTTTTAGTTTTTAATTCATACCATATGCAAAAATTGGTTCTATGGAAGGCCCTTCTTCTGTTTTTCCCTTCTCATTTCTATTTTCATTCATTTTCCCATTCTATTACAAACCTTTTTCCATTGACATAAAAATGACCTTCGGTCAAATGACGTTCGTTTACTTTACTTTCTGTAACTATCTAGCCCTTTGCTCATGGAAGTAAACTATATATACTACATGAGAAGAAGACTTAACTTTATATACTTAATATATTTGTATTTAATTAAATCAAGATAATCAGATTTTAGTATGTTAATAATATTAAAAACAAGGATTTATTGTAAAATAAATAATTTATAAAAAAATCCATATATCTTGATTTATTTAAAAACAGGCATATACATATATATATATATATATCTCTCTCTCTCTAAAAGAGTAACTTCTAGAATATATCAATTCACCTATGTCACTCTACGCATCTAATTAATTATTAGTTAATATTTTAAAATTCGCCAAGTCATGAATAGTAAATTATCTATGATTCCATGAAATGAAGTAATGGTTTTTTTTTTTTTTCAGGTCAAAACCGACTACATGAAATGAACTAGATTGAATATTTTGGTCTGAATTCTGATAAACTTCATCCACAAAAAATAAATGATTGATTGTGCAACATCACTAACTAAATTTGGTTAGTCAACTTCCCACAATTTACGAATCATTTATGTATAACAAACATATTATGAATGGAATTTTCAATTTATTTACTGAATTTTTGTGATACTAATATTCTCTATAAATACAGAAAACCTTTTTAGAAGATCTATTTTCGACTGAGTCAGAACAATACTCGAATTTGAGCTCATAATACGGGATATCATATAGTTATATAAGAAACATTGCAAAGTTATTCGCAATTTTCTTCAACGTAACATACACAACATTTTATTCACTAAAGAACATTCATACAAGCATTGAACGAATGATTGGGACATGTAATCACTTTAATTTACAACATGATTCGTGTTCCTGAAATCACAAGTTAACCAAACCAATAATACTATGGATAGCACAAATATATATACACACACACACATTACAAATTACAAAGATATTCGTAATTTTCTTCAACACACAGCATTTTATTAACCAAACCAAAGAAGACTCGTTAAGTATTGGACCAAACGATTATTTGGGAATAACATGTAATCATTTCCATTTACACTGAACATGATTTGTGTGCCTGAAATCATAAGTTAATATCACACTTCCATCCATTCTCCTCAACACAAAACTTTCCACCAACACATAAAATCCAAAAAACTCCCACTCATCACTCTTAATTCCCTCAAACTTCTCAGTTCTTTCAAATCCCACTTGTTTCTTCTTCTCATTCTTTCCCTCCCAGTCACTTCTTTCTTGTTCCCATCTCATTCTCTCGACAGTAGCCATGCTTAACCCTACCATTCTCTCTCCTCTCTCCAAACTCCTGAACCACATCACATCCTCCTCTTCACCAAATTTTCCTTCTTCCCAAACAGCTTCTCTTCCACCTCCCAGCCCTGCAACTTCAGATTTCACCACAACATTCACAAACACTTGAATGCCATTTCCATCATTTTCCTTTGAGAAAACTTTATCCCACCTTCTTTCAAGTGTCATTTCATAGAAAGCTGATTCTTTCATCTGCTCCTTCACTGGCATTCCTTCTTCCTTCACAAACATGAAAGGGCAGTACCATTTTCCGACAACCACAGGCTCGGAGTGATCCAATGATGATGAGAAGGTGAAAGGTGGGAACTTGGCTCGCAAGATAGGGTTGATGCCAAGAGCTTCACTCAAATGATACTGGTGGGGTGTCTTGGTGCAGAGAGACCAACCTCTCCTCCTCAAGAAGAGAGGAGCAAACCCATCTGAGGCAATAGACTTGGCTCGGAATCCACAACACGTTTTCAAAATCTCAAATTGTTGATATTCATCAGATGGATTTAGAGGCCTTGATTTGACGTCTTTGACGTAATTGCAGCAGAAACATGTGCCCATGTCTTCTTCCTTTGAACCTGTGCTTGCTTCACTGCACAATATCAAAACCTTGGAGTGATTAATATGAAAATTTAATTTAAACACAAAATATATTTCAAGTTTACTGCACACGAACCAACACATACCCTTGATGCTTCCCTTTCCTTCGAATGACGTAGTAGAGATTAGAAGACAGAGGCTCATTAAGAACAGGAATGAACATGACACCATCTGATAAAACTACGAAGGAAGTTCCAATGTACACTGTATAAGTCACTGTCAAGTTCTTGTTCTGTGGAAATGGCAAGTCACAGACACCCTTTTTCCACAAACCAAAACAACAGTATGACTCAGCTTCTTCATCTTGGAGGACTAGGTACCCTAAATTTGGTCCCTCTGGTGGATGTGAAAGAGCTTCAGGATCCCTTTTGTACAGAGATCGAGGTCTCGTTACGTACATTGTTTTTTTTTTTTTTTAATCTCCCTCACTCTCTCACTCTACCTATTATTGGCTTGTCTATGATAAATGTGAGCATCACCGTATTTGTGTTCTTTGATTTATATTGTTGGGATTGCGTGTTTGAGTATTATTATAGATTTTGTGTCCATTTCCTTTCCGTGATTGGTATTATATAAAGAAACCTGCAAGGACATTTTAACTCTTTAGGCTTTGGCAAATGAAAGTCAAAGTCAGAAAATGGAACTAAATTTTTAAATTTGGTGACGATAAACAGGAGAAATATAATAAGTTAATTACTCCCTCCGTTGATAAGGTGGAGAGAAGAAATCTTTGTATCATTTATAAAACATGTCATTAATTTTTTATTACAAGTTTTCCTTTTTATTACCACCCCTTAAATATTAGTGTGAAAAAATATGTTATATTAGGTGACTGGGTATCCCAAAATATAAGATGATTTAATAAAAATAAGGTTTCATTTGATATATTTTTCCAATATTATCATTCCCTTTTACCAAGTGAAGGGCATTTTTTGAAAATTTATATTTTTGTTTTTAAAAAAATTTATAATTATGCATAAATGTGAGCCTCACCGTATTAGCGTGTTCTGTGATTTATATTGTAGGGGTTGTGCGTTTGATAGTGTTATTTTAGATTTTGTGTCCATTTCCTTTCCGTTGGTTGGCATTACAGAAAGAAACCTGCGAGGACTTTTTAACTCTTTATTAGGCTATGGCAAATGAAAGTCAAAGTCAGAGAATGGAACACTATTTTTTTAAATTAAAAAATTTGGTGACGATAAACAAGAGAAATAAAGTAAGTTACTCTCTCCATCTCATTTACAAAGTAGAAGGAGAAGAATTTTTTTCTAAGATATATCATTGATTTTTTTATCACAAGTTCTTTTTTCTTTTTTATCTCTCTATTATGTTATTAAAGTATGCATATTTAAAAAGGATAAATTTAAAACATTGTTGAATTTTTAAAGTTAATAAATTTTAAAATTTTTGAAATACATTAGAAATGATTTATAAATAAAACCAAAACAGAAGCTTATCTATTCTGCATCTTTTAATAATACAGTTTACTTGACCATTTCTTGATATAGATAACTTGATTAATCTATATAAATAATCCCGTAAATAAGTGTTGTGAAAGCACTGGTTGCTTCTTTAATTTCCTCGAGAAAACCTTATCTTTAAAAATGATTTAAGATGAACAAAGTTATTTAACTTCCGTCCGAATAAAATAAATAATCAAACGGAACTAATCAATGATCAATGAATATTTCAAAGCTATATGTGATTTTTATTCATAACATGTATGAAATTGGAATTTGTGCATTTAAAATGAGTACCCCTTCCATCCCTTGTTATAGGTTTCAAATTTTTAAGGCACATATATAAAAAAAAAAATACTAACAAAATCTAGAGACCTATTGGACACTCTCAATGAACAAGTGTAGCTTGCCTACTTTGATCGGAGGAAGTGTGAGTTCAGCAAGTTGTGGGTTGTTTGCTCACCCATAATTGGATATACACTAAACCTATATAAATGTTTAAGGGTTTGATATTTAATATATAGGGACGTTGAACCCTCACTTCATATGTTACACCTATCAGAGAGTTTTGAGTTTTTTTTTTAAGGGACAATTACTTAAAATATCGACACACCCACTCATATTTACATCCAACCCTTAAGTAGGAACACACGCACCCATCACATTTTCCCACGCTTGGGGATCGACCACACATCCTCCTTGTTAGAGGAGAGGTGCTACCGACACTAGGACACAAGGGCCTCGACAAAGAATTTTGATGTTGTAGTTATGTAATCCTTGAAGGAAGGATTTTTCTTGTTATAATTCTCTAACATAATAATGAACAAAGTTTCTTTCATTTTCTTCCCCACATTCAATTTTATATGAGTTAACACTTAATACTTGTAATGAGGGAGGGAGAACCAACTAACTATCTAAATGAGCTTGGAGGGAATTATTGAGGCATATTATTATGGGTTTGTTTGGTTTTTTAAAACAAAAATGTTTTGTAAATTAATTTTAAAAAATTAATTTTCAGAACAAAATAAAGTGAAAATTTGTTTAATTTTTTTATTTAAAAATAATTTGAGTTAAAAAAAGGCTGATAGTGATGCCCTCCAGCTATGATTAATGATGATAACTTATAATAAAGTCGATTATATATAGCTGAAGGTAATTTATAATAGGAAAAATTAATATTTTAGTCCTTCAACTTTTAATTTACTTGTAACTCAATCCCTTAACTATGACTCACTGTGACTCAATCCCTTAACTATGACTCACCTATGACTCAGTCCCTCAACTTTTGAATTACTTACAAATTAATCTTTGAACTTTTGTTAATTTTTTTTTATGTTAGCTTATATCTCACATCAATGAGCAAGAGGAGGGTATTTTAGAATAATATATAAACATTTTTTATCCCTCTTATTTGATAAGAAATTTTTTAAAAAAAAATAAAAAATAAGATTGAATTATAGGTAAATTAAAAGTTGAGGGACTGAGTCGCAGCAAGTTATAATTGAGGAACTGAATCACAACGAGTTATAGTTAAAGGACTGAATTATACGTGAGTTAAAAGTTGAAGGATTAAAAGATTAATTTTTTCTTTATAATAATCAATGTAGTGTGTTTTAAAAAAGCTAAAATGCATAAAATTCTGCTAAACTTTAACATAATTGCATATGACGTCCCATTATCTTTCTACATTTAATATTAACCCCTAATCTTTAATTTTTGTTTTTCAAAACCTCTTACCATTAATTAATTATTATTTTATTAATATAGTTATTGTCATATCATATTGATGCAATACACATGACACATGTCATAAAAAAATATTTTTTATTATTTTTAACACAATTTAAGGAGGGGTAAAATTGTAATTTCTACTTTTGACACACATGATGATGTCCTCATTTTTAAGTTGAAAGACATTATTCTCATTGTTTAGGGATAATAAAATTTAAGAGAAAAATTATAATTTTATTATTCTTTATGAAAAAAATATTTTTATTATTTTTTTAACACAATTTAATGAGAAAAAAATTGTAATTTCTACTTTTAACAAACATGATGATGTTCTCTTTTTCTTTTCAGTTGAGTAACAGTGTTCTTTATTGTCAATGGTTAATACAATTTAAGAAAAAAAATTAATTTTATTATTCTTTATCATTAAAGCAACCTTTTACATTAAACAAATGAAAAAGAAAAAAATATTTTTTATTATTTTTTAACACAATTCAAGGAGGAAAAATTGTAATTTCTACTTTTAACAAACATGACAATATTCTCTCTCTGTTTTTTTTTAGTTAAGTGGCATTGTTTTCATTGTTCACTGGTAATACAATTTAAGAGAAAAATTTAATTTTATTATTATTTATCAATTAAAACAGCTTTTATATTAAACAAATGAAAACAAAAATACCTAAAAACCGTCATTGATAGAAATCATATAATTTTTGCTATCTGCTTTGTTTATTTTCTTCACACTCTTATTTGTTTGTAAATGTTATTTTTTTCTTTGAATGAAGTTTTTAGTACTTATTTAAAATTTCGAACAAAAAAATATGATATTGGTATATTACAAATAATGGAATGTGTTAAGAATAAGATAATTAAAAGTAAAAATTGTTGGGGTTGTCCGTTTGATGGTGTTATTTTAGATTTTGTATCCCTTTCCTTTCTGTTAGCTGGCATTATAGAAAGAAACCTGCGACCACTTTTTAACTCTTTATAAGGCTTTGACAAATGAAAGTCAAGGTCAGAGAATGGAACAGCATTTTTTAAATTTGGTGACGATAAACAAGGGAGATAAAGTAAGTTTCTCTCTCCATCTTATTTATAAAGTAAGAAGAAAAGATTTTTTTTCATTTATAAGATATATCATTAATTTTTTATTACAAGTTTTTTTCTTTTTTATCTCTCTAGTATATTATTAAAATATGTATTTTTAAGAAGAATAAATTTAAAAATTGTCAATTTTTAAAGTTAATAAATTTTGAATTTTTTTAATTATATTACAATGACACATATTAAAAATAATTTATAAATAAATATAAAACAATAATAAAAGCTTATCTATTGCGCATCTTTTAATAATACAGTTTACTTGACCATTTCTTGATATAGATATAATATATATAAATAATGCCGTACATAAGTGTTGTGAAGTTCTTTAATTTCCTCAAGACAACCTTATAAAATGACTTACGATGAACAAAGTTATTTAACTTCCGTCCCACTAAAAAAATAAATAATCAAGCGGAACTATTCAATGATCAAATGAATATTTCAAAGCCATATGTGATTTTTATTTATAACATGTCTGAAATTGGAATTTGTGCATTGAAATGAGTATCCCTTCCATCCCTTGTCATGGGTTTCAAATTTTTAAGGCACACATATAAAAAAATACTAATAAAATCTAGAGACCTATTTGCAGTGGCGAAACCACATATACTTGAAGGGACATATGCACCCCCTCAACTTGGAGGAAATTATAAATAAGTAGTAAATTTTTTGTTTTACCTTCTCTAGCTACAAATTTTGAACCACTTGAAATCTAGGTCCTTTTTTTGGTAAATGTTTTAACTTTAGTGCCAACCCCACCTAATAAAATAAAGGCTTGTTGTTATTGTTATTGTTTTAACTTAAGTCCAATTATGAATTCATTAAATCCATAACTCTAATATAATTTTTAGAAAAGAATATACCTATTTATTTAATTTTTTTAAATCGTTGGTTAATTACTATATATTTTTATATATAAATAATATCATAAATTAGTGACTTATAGGGAATGAAATATTTTTAATAGCATTTGATAATAAGTATAGAACAATTATAAAATACATGATTATTTTAAAAAAATTAAATAATTCTTTTTGAATTATTATTTTTAAAATTAATTTGCACCCCCTGATATAAGATCCTAGCTCCACCACTACCTATTTGGATACTCATCTCAAATAAATCAATTATGGAGTTCAAACCTATGATTT